CCCAGGCGGGTCTCGAACTCGCAGACTCAGGCAATCCACTCACCTCAGCCTCCCAAAGGCACGGGATTACAGGCTGAGCCACCAAGCCCGGCTTGCATATTCTTTACAAGATTTTTTCTTTCTCTTATAATCCAAAGAAGATTATCTTTCAGAAGATAATTGTCAATATCAAGATATTTTATGTTGTCACTACTGAGGGATGCTACTCGCATCTAGTGGCTAGAGGCAAGAGATGCTGCTAAACATCCTATAATACATAGGGCATCTTCCTACAATAAAGAAGTTTCTATGGATTAAAAAAATGTGGTACACATACACAAAGGGATGTTACGCAGTCATAAAGAAGGACAAAATTATAAACTTCGCAGCAACTTAGATGGATTTGAAGTCTATAATACTCAGTGATCTATCACAGAAGCAAAGAACTGAGTACCACAGGTTCTCACTCATAAGTGTACACTGAACATTAATCATAAAATTATAAGAAAGGGATTGGCAGTAGCAGAACACTTCCAGGGATGAGGGGCACATAACGTCAATAAGGATACATGATCTCAAACCAGGCAAAGTGGGGACTAAAGGGAGCCCCAAACTTTACTTGCACTATGACCACTTATCTATCTAAGCCTGAATTGTACTCCACATATTTAAAACAATAAAATTAAAATAAAAACAGGAATTTTCTTTTTTTGTGATTTAAAAAAAATTTTTTATTTTAAAGATATGGGATACAATTCAGGGTTAAGTATACAAATATTCATTATGCAGGTACCCTTGTTGATGAGGTGTGCTCCCCTTCCCTGGCAGAATCCCACTACTTCCAATCCCGGCCCCCATCCCTGGCAATTTCCCACTACTGACAATTCTTTTCTTATAGTATTACGATAATTGTTCAAGGTCCATTTATGAGTGAGAACATGATATTCAGTTCTTTTTTGTGATAGATCACTCAGTATTATAGACTCTAAGTTCATTCAAATTGCTTATGTTCATAATTTTGTCCTTCTTTATGACTACGTAATATTCCATTGTGTATATGTACCACATTTTTTTTACCCAGTCCTCTTTCGATGGGCAGCATGGTTGTTTCCATGTTTTTGCTATTGTGAACATTGCTGCAATAAACACGCATGAGCAGGTATCTTTTTCATAGAGCAATTTGAGTTCCTTCAGGTATATTCCCAATAGGGGGACTATGGGGCCAAAAGGGAAAAAAACAGCCTAATTACAAAGTGGGCAAAAGATATGAATAGACAGTTCTCAAAAGAGACATACAGGCAGCCAACAGATACATGAAAAAAAATGCTCAGCCTCAATAGTCATCAAAGAATGCAAATTAAAACCACACTGAGATACCAGCTAACTCCAGTCAGGATGGCCATCATCAATAACTCAAAAAACAACACAAACTGGAGAGGATGCGGGGAAAGGGAACACTTTACGTTGTTGGTGGGAGTGTAAACTAATACAACCTCTGTGGGAAACAAAAAATTGAATTTTCTAGCCCAAAATGTCAATAGTGCCAAGGTTGAAAAATCCTGATTGATTGATTGGTTTGTTTGTTTACATATTTGAGTTGGAGTTTACTCTGTCTCACAGGCTGGAGTGCAGTGGTAGGATCACAGCTCACCACAACCTTGAGCTTTTGGTCTCCAGTGATCTTCCACCTCAGCTTCTTGTTAGCTGGACCTACAGGCATGTGCCACTATGCCTAATTAATTAAAAAAACCCATGAATGTATGTAAATTATTTTAAATCTAGTGTGACTATAGCACAGTATAGAATTTTTAAGTTATAAAAATAGAAAGATTGACATTGTTATAAACAATAAAACAAGAAAATCCTTTTGCAGAATTCCCTCTATAGAAACCAATGGGCTACCAAAATGGGAACAGACTTTATATAACACCGATATTTTCGACACATATTTTTGGTCTTTAAATCTGTTTGAATATCTTTTAAAACACTATTTTCATGACAATTTTATATATAATATTATAATTCACAAACAGACTTAAGTATTTTATACCTTATAAAAGAATGGCTAAAAGTATACTTATGGAATTTCAAAATCTATCAATTATCATAAGGGATTTAAAAATAGTTGACTATAGTTTCATTCTGCAAATGACGATGTCGTGAAGGTTAAGTACTTGGGTTCTTAGTGACTGAGTTTTAGTGACTGAGCACATTCTAACACCCTGTAGTAAAGGATCAGTGATAGGAAACTATACTTATAGCCACCTCAATAAGGTAAGGTAGCACAGACACCATTATTTAATTTTGTGAAATATAGCCATACGCTGGTGCATTTGAATTCTTAAAACACTATTGAGATTTACTTCATAAGCTTCAGTGTTTTTGTTAAATGGAATAATACATAGCTATGACAATATTGTGAGAAATGAGTCTACATACATCAAAACCCCTTCAGGAACATACTTAATTTTCAAAAGTTACTGCCCCTCTTGTTGATGTTGCTACTGTTGCTTTTCATGTAGACAATAATGTTGCATAGAAAGTTGAAAATTTGTAAAAGAATATGATAGAAAATAAAAAGATCCAGGAAGGATAACATTTTTGTTGTTGTTGTTTCTACCCTACATTAGATGTCATGAAAATAAACCATACTTATATAATTTGTAAGAATTAAATCTGGACATTTTGATTTAACATTTCTATAGTTGTATTTTAATGTTTTACATTTCAAGTATAGATAAAATGAACACAAATATTTCCATAAAAATATAACACCCCTCCTGAAATCTAAAATGTCAACAAAATGTTTGGCAAAGCTTAGAAGTAATGTTAATTTTGATCTGAAATGCTTAAAACTAAATGGTCCTTAATAAGTGATGTGTATCGTGATCTTGTTTTTTATTTTGATAGTTTTAAAAATCAATATAATCTCCTCTTGCCTCTCTGCTTTGATTCCATCAAGAAACATTGAAAAAATGATTCCTCAGTTAGATGCCATGAAAATGCACAGGTCTTATTTTTGTGTTCACAGTTTGGCAGGGTAGAGAGACATGTGAACCAACAGTTGCTCTAGAGAACATGAATGTTTTACTAAAAAAGAAAGTAAAAAGTTATAGTAATTTCACAACATATAAGCATAGCTGTGGTTAAAGAAGTCTTACAGAAAAATTTAAAATTTGGAAAGCCTTTAAAGTATGTTGGAATATTTATGGAAAAAGGCTCAGTGATAAAAGTAGCAAAAGCATTATGAAAAAGTATTACCTCTATTAACCTGAGACTTACAATTTAAATGCATTGGTTGTATGTCTCTGTGTATAAGTATTCGATAAATATTTACTATTAGGTAGTCACTTTTAAAATAAGCTACACATAAAACAAATATGAGCATACTAAGGAAAAATCTTTGTATTTGCATTTATATTTGCAGTTTAAATCTAGTTTCATATGTTTATTAATATGTCTTATTAAAAATTCTGGTATTTTAGAGTATCACAGAGAATATTTTTATTTTCAGCATTATAATAATATGTTAAAATACTATGAGGAAGTAGTTAGGGCATTAAGTTTGGATAAAATTAAAATACTTGTTTTATTTCAGTACTATTGTGTGATACATCTAAACATCAAGGATAAATGATTTTTGCATTAGTGAAAATACTATATATTTTGAATAGTAGTCTTTAAATAAACTGTGTTTATTTTTCGTAATACAGTTATCACAGAATTGAAATATGTTATATAGTTTAGTCATATCATTAGTTGGGCTAAAGAAGAAGACACACTATCTATACAAATATTAATGCCTATGAAGAACCAAGGATAATGGAAAAATTCCCAAAGGGTAGTTCAATGAAATTTATTTTAATGTACCTTACACCTTAATCATACTCTTGAGTAAGGCCGTGAAAATTTATTTTCATACTCTTTCTCCTACTTATCACTATGTTATAAATTATCTATGTAAATATTTAGGAAAATAAATCAAATAATATGAAAAAGCCACAGTAATTTCTCTTTTTTATACTATCAAATGCAACAATTTGTTCATTAAAACTCGGACATGAAGATCTGAAGAATTTTTTCACTATTTTCCTTTATCTTTACCAATGTTTGCTATTATTTTAAAAATTCTTACACACAACAATGCACATCAATCACTTTAATAACAATCCATACTTGATAGTTTCTAGCAACATCAAAAAGGAAACTACACACTAATCTGACTCCAAGTC